ATGGTAGCAATCGAAAGTAAGAACACACTTCAAAATTTTTCAGCAATTTTAATGGGTAAACTGATAATGAAGTGAAAAATTCCTCTACAGAGTTTTAACAAAAAACAGGAGAATCAATCCAATATGTCTTGACACTTTTAATTGCACACTGAGAACTTGAATCTCACTGGAATATTGCTAAATTTTAACTTTTGGGTATGATAATCCAATATAAAATTCATCGAAGAGGTTTTAATTGGAATTTGCGAATCCATTCAAATATTCCTAGCATACTTTAATTGGGTAAACAAAAACTCTTCTAATGTTTTCCTACACAGAATTCCCAGCATCTTCTGCAACTAAATAACGAAGTAGCACCTGTAAATAGTAAAGTGACTATTTCAACGTCGCTTAAACCTAACAAATTGATTATTTGAAAGATTTTAATCGGATATTACGAGGGAGGCGGAAATTCGTTCTAAAGACGTGTGGCGATATTGTTTTTCCGGAGGAATAACGTAAATAAGCACATATATGATGTCCTTGGATTATTCCTGCACGTCAATGGGAACAGGGCAGACAAATTGTTTACGGCGCTCACCTTAAAAATCGCACACATCTCAATGTTTTCAGAGTCGGTTTAAATCTTGACAACGCTATCAGCATCGGTTTACCTCTTGACTCGGCAAACGTGGGCATCTAATCTCTTGGGGTTACTGTTTTAACACTTCTTGGATTTTTTTCTCTCCGCTAAGGGGCAGGGGATGCATGGTTTAAATTTCAAATATCACCAGAAATGTTTGTCTGAAATTGGCGTATGATACATTTCGGATTTAGGCATCAGAGATACTCGACCAAACTCTAACCCCGAACAGAAACTTGACCCTTGTGTCATAACTTACAAACTATAGAAATCACCACCCTATAAAGATACATATTTGAAATCCCCATCCTATACCAATGTATCTACTTCATGGACATAAAATTATTTACGCAAGCAACGTCCAAGAGTCCATATTTAATTCTAAAGAAACTAAGCACGATGATCATAGATTAAAACTATGGAGATCCACAGTATATGAACATATACATACTTAACGAGCAAGAAATAAAACAAAAACAAACGCACGCACACAGTTGACCTATGCCCTAATTTGGAATAAAGGTCAAAAAGAGAAACTAATTTTTCTAGTAAAATATTTCGTATCGAATGTTCCCAAACGCAATACCTGAAAAGAACTGTTATTACCCCTCAAATCACTCCTTCCCTGATAAAACTTCTTAACTAAAAGAGCTTAAAGTTATCTGCTTATCTAGATAGTGGTCGGGCAGTGTGATTTCCTTTATATATGACTGGCGTTAAATCCCATGAATATTTCGGTTAATTCTGGAGCGTATGACACGTTCACTATATGGAAGTAGCTAACAGGAGGCTTGTAGGATGCATGTATATTATAATTAGCGAATAAACATTTTACAAGTAAAATAAAATGGGATTTTTTTTCTTGCTTAAATACGTTACCCAATCATATTACCTTATGAGACTAGGAAAGAGGCGGAGGGAGGTACATCCGCTTACCAAGGAGACAAGATCTCCGGTCACGTATGGTATGTGACACAGCTTCTAGGTAACCCGACTGGAGAAGACGCAATCTATCGAGAAGCGGTTTTAAAATGAGAAACTTTTATCTCCCTCAAATCCTGCGAAAGTCGTGAATTCGCATCTTAAGAAGTTGTCGAACGACCTGGGTAAGTGGCGTGTTGCGACAAAGCTATAGGTCATACCAAATCAAGTCGAACCCTTTGGGATGAAAAATACTCCGGGATAAAAACTGGATAATGTGGACTCGGACATCCATCCAACGACATGGATAATATCAGTTAGAGAACAGTTCTAGTCAAAGGCGCTGTTTGTTGCAACAGCTTTAACCGTGTGAGTCGAAATGGGTAAGAGTTGGAATTATTGCTCGATATGCAGAGCGAATGACCCATTCATCCAGGACAAAGTGGTATGTGATGTAATATCATTCTGTCCCTGGTGAGAGATCAAAGTAGGCGTGATCTCACTCCACGCAACGGCTCTGTCTTTGTAAGATACCACTTCAAATCTTGTAATTCATCCTGTAGGTGGCCTAAATTTTAAGTCTTCTGAGTAGAAAATGATTTCATTACAAAGGTCTGGTTACCCATGGACGGAAGCCTGTCCTAGGTTATAAAAGATGGAACCGTCATAGTGAAACCGACCCATCTTATCGGAACGGCATGTAATTCGGGTCCCTGATAGGGCATTATCGCGTTGATTCTGCCTACCGTCGCTGATGTGATAAGGAAGCAGGTCTTGTACGAAAGGTGAACCAAATATGTCATTGAAAGTGGTTCAAATAATGTTTTATTCAAACAGGTTAGTACCATTGGTAGGTTCCATTTGGGCACAGAACGAACGTTTTTGGACGTGTATAATCAAAGTTGGAGAGGCGGTCGGAGAAGTCTTTGTTTTGTCCCATATTTTCTCTTCCATGATGACCAAAGGTATCAGCGATTGTGGAGCTGTAGCCTTTGATTGGGACTGGTGCTTTTTCTCGTCGAAGAATCAGAGAAGGAAGTTAGCCATTTTAGGCATGGATGCCTGTAGTGGTAGAGTATGTTCCTGTGTAGAAATTGTCCATTTGCCATAGTACGTTTTCAGGATGGACGGCCTTCTTGGATGAGCGATTCTCTCCACATTTGGTTGTTGTTGTTGTTGGGCTTAACGCCATTTTTCAGCACACGATAGGCTATTTATGGCGGCCAGTATTAATGGTGGAGGAAGAAACCGGGAAATCACCGGAAAGAACCACCGACCCACGAGAAGCTACTGGCAAGCTTTCTCACATATCCACATTCGCCGAATCCTAGACTCGAACCCACGCAGACAGAGGTAAGATGGCAGTGATCCGTAACGGACAGCGCTTTAGACCACTCGGCCACTCGGGGCCCCTTTCTCCACATTTGGTTGTGAAAACTTCATTTTCGAGAGCCTGTTTAATATGATACAGACGCGTAGACTCAGTAGCTCTGGGTTGATGATTAAAAAACTTTCACCTGTGTACTTGAAATAACTGAGGGAAATTCACTATTTTCCCCGGAATTCCCTTTGCGAGATTAATGAGGTCGTTCATCCATGATTTCCCCCATTTGAGTGGTGCAATGAAAATGAAGCGACACTTCGCTTCTCTTGCTTTTAGTATCACCTTTGGAATCAGAAGTGTTAGTGGGTAATCGTATGCGTCCAGGCCGCTCCAATCTATGGATAGCGCATCAATTGCCAAGCTTTTGGGATTTGGGAAAGAGGTTGGGAGTTTAGTATTCTACCTTGCTGCAAACAGTCCACCAATGGTTGGTCCCATCGAGGGTACATATCTGATCGAAATCAGAGAGATGGCGAAACTATTCGGTCTCTGTCAGTCGACTGTTCCGCGACAAAGAATCTGCTATTATGTGTAAGCGTCCAGGAATAGGACAGGACGAGCTTAGACGTGAATTTGTTGTTGACTTTGGAAAGTCCCACACCAGTTCTTGGCTACACCTTGCCGTATGAGATAAGTCACAATCCTAGAGTTTTCAGATAGAATGAGGACTCCCTTTTCAGTTAAAAACTCCTGCCACCAGTGAAAGACTTTAAAAATGGCCTTCATCTCAAGAATAGTGATACGTAAATTCCAGTTCTGGGGAGATCACACTCCACTGGCTTCCCGAAAAGACTAGTAGTAGTGCTCCTGGGCTCATGATCATTCCGTACCCAAGTCATTTCGTACCCAGTAGAAATTGGTCGTTTTGTTACCAAGGCGCTGGTCGTTTCGTACCCAAGGTAATAGTCGTTTCGTACCCAATGTGGAAGTTGTTTCGTACCCATTAATTTACAAAGTCAAATATACTGTATTGTCGTATTGTCCGCTCCCTCTCTTGGCATAATCTTTTTCCTACCATATAGATTGCATGAGCAAACCATATCCGAGCAAAAATTTGACCAAAACAGTAATTGTATTGTTTTCACTGTATAATAGCATCTATGTACTAAAAAGAATTAATAACAATCCACACTGCAAATAAAATAAAAGAAAACGTTGGTCAAGTATAAATAATTGAATAAGTCCATTCTTTTTTCAATCGTTTAAATGAACAAACATTGTCATATTTCTTGGTATTATTTAGTAATGACTAACGTGACTGAAAAACCTACAAATGTTCATCCTCTCAAAGCTACTAGAAATTCTGCGATCTTTTAATGATGAGGCTGAATGTAGATAAACAGTGTTGCTTGAATAATTTTATCTTCTCCAAGGATACCTGCTTTTAAAGGTCTTTGAACGTGGCATACTATACGGACCGCCAAGCCATTTTGTTTTTGTTATTATTATTATTATTATTATTATTATTATTATTATTATTATTATTATTATTATTATCCATTTATAAATTGCTGTTACTTCACTAACACGTAGATTCATTTTAGCGTTGATAGTTATAATATTGGTGGTTACATTTGTTCTTTGGATAAGAAAAGTCTCATTTGGATAACAAACGACTTGGGTACGGAATGACCAGGTTCGGTGCCCCGAACAGTCTTTGTTTGTATCTGTACAGACTATGATCTTTGGTCGTTGTACTTGCAGAGGTATACCCGCTGTGAGCCAAGTTATGTCTCTCTCAAAGTCTGCAGATGGTACCTCATGTTTGTACAAGTGGGGTGAGGTTGGTCCAGTGGGCGAACTTATGGCCACCATTGGTGTGAGTGAGTGTGCGTGTGTCTGATTTAGTTTTTTTTTTAACATAGCTTTAAAAATTTGTCTTATCGCCACGATGTCTGCAGTGTGGCAGTTTATAGTGATGTCTAGCACTGATGTATCATGCATCAGACATGTAGCAGGATGTCCCACCCAGTCACATTATCCTGACACCAGGCCAACCAGTCCTAACACTAACCTCCAATGATGAGCGCCAAGCGAGGAAGCTGTTAGTACCATTTTTTAAAGTCTTTGGTATGACTCAGCAGCGGATCAAACCCACGACCTCCCGCATCCGAGGCGGACGCTCTAACCACTAGGCCACCTTAGCAGTCCACTGGGATAAGAAAATCATTTCTAATGGGCGAATGTATGGACAAACTAGGATGAGAAGGTCCGCTGTCGTGTTGAGCGAGCATGGAAGTCGAATTAATTCTCGCGAGGTGAGAGAATTCATCTGAAGTAACGAAGCAACCATGGTCCGGATTTTTAATGTCCATTCCTGATCTGTTTACCCGTATGTTGAATTCTTTACGAAGATGAACAAATCTTTTAGATGGCACTAGGTCGGATTTGTCTTTGCTGACGAGAAAACTCGGATTTGCAAGCAGTGTGACAAAGGTTATATAACTCAAATGATGTGTTTTGCAACATGTTATTCAAGGTGCATCATGTATCTGCTTTGGAAATGGTCCGGACAAGAACCATGACACAACTCATCTGGCAAGTGAAGACCTAGGGGCTGATGTTGAGTCCAAATGGAAGAGCTCGGAATTCATAAACGATGTCGTTGTAGTCGAAACACAGAAACTTCCTGGAAACCTTGTGAATATGAACGTAAGGATATGCATCTTTTAGGTTTGTGAAGTCTCTCATTGAACGGCATTTAAAATGCACCGTGGTGTTTCAATCGAGAACCAAGTACCATGAATGAATTGATGGCCCTTAGGTCGATGACAGGGCGCAGAGCGTGGCTTTCCTTTGGGTTCAAGAAAAGTCTGGGAAAAATACCGGATAATTTATATTTCAAACTATTTCTAACTCCTTTTTCTGGAGAAGGTTGTTTATTTCTTGTTGCAAGATGCTGAATTTAAATTTAAATCGGTCTGTTAGAATGTGTGCAGCTGATGGGACTCAGAACTGAGGATGAGGAATTTTGAAAGTAATACAGGGTCCTTCATAAAACGCTTATCGAGTCCATTTTATCGTTGTAGCATATCTTGTCCAATTCAGCAGCAAAGAACTTTAGTCTTTCTCCTACCGTTATATGTGGGAAGGACGGTATGTATATTATGCCAGTTTTTGAGAGATGCAGGCGTTCGTGTAAAAAGAAAAAACTTTGGAATAAGCGATCAATATTTCGCTGTTTGTCCACTATTGTCCGCGAGAACCATGGTTTTCGATGTTGCGAAGGAGGAATGGGAAATTGCATCTCCTCATTGGTTTATTTGCTTACTTCGTCGATCTGGCTGTTTAAAATAATATACCAGAGGGTAACGGTTCTGATCCTATCTTGGTCTTATGACAATCCTTAAGAAAGGTGGGTGTAGAAAGCAGTGGATCTCGTTCAGCCAGTAGTAAAAGTGTATCTGTTGTGACTTCTTTAGCTAGTGTATATTGTGGAGCTCTTTTCAAGACACGGGCTATTCTGGAGACCAACTCCCATGCATGTATCATTGTATTCGGAGGAAGAGGTTATGCGCTCTGTTCCATCTGTTAGAAGACAGCTGTCGATACCAAATCCAACATAGAGGCCATGGCTACCACACTGAGAACCATTTGTTGAGTGCCACTTAAAGATGTTTGATCCATATAAACAGAGTATAGTTTTGTCATCCTCAAAGCTGTGATATCACGGTCAACTCTTGGGGTTTTTCAAATGAAAAACTGGTGTATAGCAAGAATAGAACCACCGACAAAAAGTTTATGGAAGGCGTTTTTGTAAGATAAGAGACGGTTAATGTTTAGGTCTTGCAATTGATTATGTACACAGTTCAAACTGACTGTGATTCTGCCCAGCTGCGGCAGTGATTTGAGGTTGGATACTTCCTTTTACCAGATAAGATCAACAATTGCTGAAGCTTTGAGTCACGCGGTTTCCAAGACTCTCAGACAATTCAGGAGACTTGGCATGTGATATATATATATATATATATATATATATATATATATATATATATATATATATATATATATATATATATATATATATAGTTGGTTATACACGAGTTACATATATGACATAATGTTCACATTTTGAAATCCTTGCAAAAGAATCATGCCCAAAATATGTATATGATTTCAGCATGTGACAGCTGCATGTAAATGTCCCACTTCTGAATTTTGCACAATATTTGCCAATGATCATCTCTCCATTGCTGCTGAGAAAAATTTAGCCTGAATGTCATGACAAGAGTCATGGCCAGTTCACGGGGCAGTTCCTGCGCTGACTGCTTCTTCATTTGCTCTATCCTGAAACTGAAAATGAACAGCAATCCAAAAAGTGTTGCATGGAGCATCAAGGAACGGTATGGTTAGAGTGATACTGAATATGAATAGTCCATGGGGTATTGCAAGGAGCACCAAGGACTGGTACGGTTACAGTGACACTGAATGTAAGAGCAATGCAAAGAGCTGCATGGAGCATCAACAATTGGTAAGAATGATGACAAATGAAGATAGGGATCTCATCTCACTAAATCTAAGTTGACAGACAGTGATGACAGGCATCTCATGTCACTAAATCTAAGTAGGCAGACAGTGATGACAAGAATCTCATCTCACTAAATCCAAGTTGGCAGACAGTTATGACAGGCATCTCATCTCACTAAATCTAAGTTGGCAGACAATGAAGACAGCATCTCATCTCGCTATATTCTCCAATATACTGATTTTCTGGACAGATGAGTATGGTATATAAACAATAGAAATGTATGTTTATTTCAGGATGGTCTAATTCAGGAGTAGACAAGTTTATTTTTCTGATATTAACATGACTTAGAAATGTATTCAAAGGAGAATAACATATCTAGAAAAAACTAGCCATGGCAGTTACAGACATCATAATTTAATTTCAATATTTCACACTGATAGTTACAAAAACAGTTACCATACCAATAAACCACTAAAAAGTTCAACTTTATCAATATAGTCATACAGATGAACCACTAGTAAATTCAACTCTATCAATATAGTCATACAGATGAACCACAAATAAGTTCAACTCTATCAACATAGTTACACAGATGAACCACCAGTAAATTCAACTCTATCAATACAGTCATGCGGATGAACCACAAATAAATTTAACTCTATGAATATAGTCATACAGATGAACCACTAGTAAGTTCAACTCTATCAATATAGTCATACAGATGAACCACTAGGAAGTTCAACTCTATGAATAGTCATACCGATGAACCTGAAATAGGTTCCCACTTTATGAATATTGTCATACAGATGAACCACTGTTAAGTTCAACTTTATCAATATAGTCATACAGATGAACCACTACTAAGCTGAACTCTATCAATATAGTAATATGGATGAACCATTAATAACTTGAACTCTCAACATACTATCATACTGATGAACCATTATTAAGTTCAACTCTATCAAAATAGTCACACCAATGAACCACTCACTAGTAAGTTCAACTTAATACAGTCATACCAATGAACCACTAATAACTTCAACTTTATCAATAAAGTGAAGAAGATTTTTTAGACCATATTTAGTTCTGCATGAACTAAAATGGATGCATGAAAAGTGTAAGATTCCTTTCTAAGCAAAACATCCTGCCAAGCAAATTAACCTGACATTCAAATCCACCTGCCAACAAAACCACCTGTTAAGCAAATCAATCTGCCAAGCAAATTAACCTGACATTTAAATTCACCTGCCAACAAAACCACCTGTTAAGCAAATCAATCTGCCAAGCAAATTAACCTGACATTCAAATCCACCTGCCAACAAAACCACCTGTTAAGCAAATCAATCTGCCTAGCAAATTAACCTGACATTCAAATCCACCTGCCAACAAAACCACCTGTTAAGCAAATCAATCTGCCTAGCAAATTAACCTGACATTCAAATCCACCTGCCAACAAAACCACCTAAGCAAATCAATCTGCCCTTGAAATCCACATCTCAATCAAATCCTCCAAAACACAGGCTCCACTTCTGATGATGGATATTGACTGAAGGACATTACACATCATGCATGATAAAATGATGGTCGTCATGGAGTTGCATTCTGTAGACATCTCTCCCTTTAGTTATACATCTCATTTAATTAACATCAACTTGCATTTACCCTCTTAACTCATCTGGACAAAATTTCCCACCAGCTCAATTTGGCACACGTTCCTACATTCTCAATCCAATCTACCTTTCACATATTGAATTGGATTTCAACCGTTAGTTTTGTTGGATACCCAATATATGATTTGATCAGATTATCCTTCACATGTGAGATATAAAAATAAGTAAAATTCCATACTAGAAAGCTGGTATTCTAGGTAACTCCACAAGTCATATGCTCATTGGTTATGACACTAGTAACTCACTCAAACCATTTGCTTAGTAAAAAGGTACCCATTAAGGTATGGCTTCATGCAGTGAGAAATATCAATATGTTAAGTTCACAAAGCTGTTTTTTGTTATAACAACATGGTAGTCCTAGCAGTAGACAGGATTCTATCTGCAATTTCAACCTTCTCTTTCAAATGAGGATTTTTTTGTCCATCTTTATGTTTCTGTCTGAGCAGAAAGTGATGCATAAAAAGTCTGAGCCCCTCATGAAGCAGATGCAATTTATTAAGCACAGCTATCCTGTGAAACACAGCCTCCACCACAGAATCTGGGTAGTTCAACAGAAGATCTGTTAGAATCTGTTTCAGCAGATGGACCATTGGCTTCTCCAAAGTACCAAATGATATGGTCTGAAATAAAATAATGAAAATACTGCAATACAGTAAAATCTGTGAAGGAAATAATTGGAAAGGCAATTGCTGTCCTTTCATGATAGGTGTTTGGAATATACAAGTGAAATATGTGCAGAAACATTAACTTGAATTGCAATAATGAAAGACAGATGCCCAAAAAAGTGCCTTAGAACTGACTTAAAAGTAAAATAAGTGGATTGATATATGGAAATACAGATGAGTATATAAGTCCATACAGACAAGTGGATTGATATATGGAAATACAGATGAGTAAGTATATAAGTCCATACAGACAAGTGGATTGATATATGGAAATACAGATGAGTAAGTATATAAGTCCATACAGACAAGTGGATTGATATATGGAAATACAGATAAGTAAGTATATA